GCACCTCCTAAAATTTGCCCATTACTTTGTACACATCTACCCTCTACTCAGCCCACCCCACCCTAACATCTTTAAACCTTCTCTCGCTTCTTTAGTTTGTCTCCGTTGAACGATAAGCTAATTACATTTGGTGGTAGGTTCAATTTGATTTTTTCTTTGAAAGATCCATCATTGGAAAAAGAAATGGCGTGGGAGAAATAGATTTATTGGAGGTTAACATTACATTTAATGGGGTAGACTTTGAGATTCAAGGAGTGGGAATAGTCCTCCTACCCTTACCTCATGCTTGATGTATCAAGCTATGATTATTTGATCAAATGCTTAAATGAAAATATTGTATTTGGGAAAAATTATTGAAAATTAGTAAATGGGCCCAATAATATATATTTGACCATGCCGGGGTCTTAACTGTAAAATACGTTAGGCCCTTGAAATCAGACAAAAAGGAATCTGGGATTTGGGTGCGTAACTGTGTCTGGTGGTGCCTCTCTAGGGAACTAACAACTGTCCACAATTAAAAATTAAAAGTAACAAGTAGCCCAATTTGTCAGAATAAGAATAGCCATCAACTGTGGCATTATTTTTGCCACGTGTCATTCAAATGGGAAATTGTACATCAACACCGTTGAATTAGCCATCAATCAACATCATTAGATCCTACTAATTAGGAACATAACAAACACTATTAACATTTAACACCACTGGTTATGTGGAATAACAACCACCTTTGAGGGGGCTAATACTTTATTTGAGCTCTAGGAGCAACTGGTTTATACACTCGAATTTGTTTTTAATTTTATTTAGAGTTACGAGCATGGGCGACATAAGTACGTCTCTACACGTTGAGGACAGATCATGAGATTTCCTCATTACCAAAACAAAAAAAAAAAATATAATGTCAAGCATAACTCAAATGATAATAAAGATAAATTATAAATTTAAATTTTTATAATTTCTTGGGTCCAGGTCGTGAAAGATTTATCCCTCATGAATACCTTAGTTTCAGTGTAGATGACTTACCTTTGATTGGACAGGAAAAAAGATTAATCGAAATATACATAAATTAGTCCGAATATCTCTAACCGTCAAACTAAAAAAAAAAATACGTATGAGAAAACAAAAATACTTTAGATACCTAAGCTTTTTTTAGATCATGTGATATTTCTATAAATATTATGATGTTAATGATTTCTTTTAACTAGTATAATAATATAAATGTAATAGGGCAAATCATTTATATTTAAAAATTTATGTATGAAATATTGTTTTCTCTATTTATTATTACAAAATCTATCGTATAATAAGTAATTTTGGCATGATATGGTGGATGAATAAAGTTGCTTAGTCTAAATGTTTACGTAAAATCTTATATACCAGATAACGAGATCTAATCATAATCATTAGATGTTCAGTAATGGTCATTGGAACCGGTTAATTTAACCCTACTCCGTACACATTCATTGGTATATAAAATTGATTAGTGTATTATTATCGTTAAAAAAATCAAATTGACTTTTGTAATTTACATAATAGAAAAATTTGCGCTTTTTAGTTTTTATGAGAAGGATTGTCTACCACATGATAAATACTTGTGCTAATTCTATCCGAACTTAACTCCAACAGATAAAATTTATCAAAGTAGAGATAATACTTGAGAATATTCTGTTTAATTTTTGGTCCAATCTTCAAGCCGTCAGGAGTGTTCAGATTAACTTATACGCATCTTAATTAATTTCTTATTCGATTCGATCAAAGGCAAATCATTCACGTCGGGATTAAGGTATTCACGAGAGATCAATCTAAATTCATCATTACTAGACTTTAAAATATTATCACAATTAGAATTTAGGACATTTAAACTTATCATTCGTCTCTGTTACAATTTTAACTACCTTAAAATTAATCCTCAAGAAACTTCTCCTCTCTGAGCCAAATTTTTTTGGTGAATCTAGGGATCAGGTGGTTAATAGTTTAAGATCAAATTATGTGGTTTTGCAGTGGAGGATGGACCCGGTTCCTGACAAGTCACAATTTTTTGTAGGAATAATACTATTGTCATTTAAAGATTTAAATTAATGATATATCATGTGGTGTGACTGATGATACCAAAAATTAGTCAAAGTTAAGTTCGGACCACCCAGTTCAAACATCTAAGTCTAGACCCTACAATTAATGATCACAAACTCAGGGTTTGCGGGTCAGATATTTTTAGCAACGAGACTCTTCTGCACGCGATGACAGAGATAGTTGGCACATTCTAGAAAGTCAGGTTACGCTTAGAGAATGTAACCCGTAACGGCCAAATATTCTGTCACATAGGTCACAACAATCTCAAGGGAAATCATATTGACTATGCCGGGATGACATTGGTTATGGGAGGATATGAGAGATCATGCAAGACAATTGTACACTATAAATAGGGATCAAACCTCTCACACTGTATTCAAGCAATGATCTGTGCATTGACTCTGTGTAATCTCCTTCCCCTCAATTAACAAAGAACTCCCTAAAAATAAGAGATTTTATTATAATAGATTAACCAAACTTTCAAACCGATGAATCACCATAAATCTTTTATCTATTTACCTTCGTTGTGGGTCATCTTATTGAGGCAATAGCTTAACACCCAAAGGCCTAGAAACTTTGACTGAACATTCTAGTGATTCACCAAATCCCCAAATAGTTCATTTTTGTTCAGCTGTTCAGAACACACCATCAATAACCATATTGAAAAAGTCTAAATCAGTGTNCAGCAGCACACTACTTTGATTGCAACTAACTGGATGAGATTGCAGGCTCATCCTTTTTAGAGCTAGAAATGGCATCCTTCAATGTGCCCGAATGAACAGCCTCCAAAGTCTTGTAGAACTCCTCAGGGAGAGGGCCAGGTCGATGCAGGGGTACATGCTTGGGAACTGGAGCATCATTTTCAATAACTTCACATTCATAGTCATCAGGAATACCCCATGGGTCCCACTCTGCATCCAACCAAACGAAGGAATTCGAGCCGTCAACATTCGAGTAGGAAAAGCTTAATGAAAAAACTACGGTTCCAATATATCTCTTTTTTCTTTCCTACTCAAAAAAACTACGGCCCCTCTTTTTTCTTTCCTTTTTTTCAAGTTTATTTTTTCTGTTTGGGGCTGGGGGTGGGTTTGACCCTCTAGGATGCATTCAATGGTAATGTAGAAAACATAAACTTCATTTATTGGTCTCACACCATTGGACCAAACAGAAAGACAAGAAGAAACATCTTACAATCAGATTTACGTCTGCAAGTTCAGTATTCTTTGAAGACACTAGATAGGGTCAGCCCACCCAGCCATTCCGTAGCCTGCTTAAGATTTTTTAATAGTAAATCTATACCTACAAGTTTAATTGACCGCTTCACTGATATGCTTGGTTAACAATATAACAAGTCGATCAAATGGGGAATCCCAGTCACAGGAACAGTAAACTGTATACAACATATAGACATGGCTAATGAGCAGCCACCTCCCCAGCCTACTTGAGAGGATAAAATTATCTGGCTTCCTTCCTCATCCAATGTGCATACTCTTAAAAGTAATCGGAGTGCAATAATAGGATCAGTAGCCCCACTACAATGGGCTCATTTGCTGTGGTTCAAAAAATCAACTCCTCGACATTCTGTTACAGTTCGACTAGCAACTATATATAGGCTGGCTACTCAAGACCATCATTTTGGAAAGCTATTCTTGTCAATCTTATGTGTTTTTAGTGAAGTCATACACAACACAACAAAGCCTTTATCTCAACTATTTGGGAACAGCTATAGTAATCATGTTTCTCCATTATACTCTTTTTGAGTAAAGGCGTGCCAAATCAAATGCAAGGGTCAAGGAAATGGTATCTGAGTCATCTGACAAGTTACGGTGAGTTTATGCAATCAAATGAAAAATTGCTCTCTAAAATAATTAAATCTTTTTCACCATCAGTCAGAAAGGTGGCCATTGCAGCTCTGATATATCATGTTTGAATAAAAAATAGAAGAAAGTCTGAAAATAAATATGGTGATCAGGATTCTTCGATGCTTGATAGAGGAATGGCTGTGCACAATGCAAATCTGGGCTTCTTAATGTAAATGATACTTATTTAGCCTGAGGGCCTTTGCCCCAGAACTGACTTTGCTGTTCAATGGCATCGAAGTACCAGTAGATTTGCTCAGATATGAGGCTGATGTAGGGTTGTTGACTGGTTGTTTGTCATCATTCTATGTAATTGATTCTCAAACTAGTAAATTCCTTTTGGTTGGCCAGTGTAGGCCATCTGTAAAGCTCATTGAATATCCATCGTGTGCTGCTCTAAGGTTCCTTTGTGCATTCTCTAATTTCAGAGAAAGTGTCCTTCTTGCTGTTATTCCAATTTAGAAATCCTCCCTAGTTTTCCCAATTGGGATACAGTCTATGGAATTCCTAAGTTTATATCTGATCAGCATTAATTCATAACTGATTTAGACAGTCTCATATCCACGCATACATCCAGATACTCCCAATTCTCAAACAACACCATACATGACAATATTATGTTTCAGATTAAGAAATACCCTTAGCAATCATCCAAAATTCAGCAAAAATCCGAAGAGTCAATTCTCATATTTCTTGTTTTTCCCCATTTCTCCAGCCACAAAGAAGACTTGTCGATTTATAATGTCTGTTGAACGTAAATTAAAGAACATCCGAAAGAAAATAATTAGAGAGAGAGCATGGAAATGTACGGACCGATCATTTTGTCGATAAGTTTGAGCTCATCCTGCGCCTCCTCGATGAGCTCTTCGACTTGACCGCACCCAAGACGCTTCTCGATCATTTCCCAGTCCTCTTCTTCCTGGCAGACCTTGAGCCTCTGGCTAGTGAAGCTCTCAACGGCCTTCCTGTAGCCCTCGTCCTCGGGAACCTTCTGTATCTCCTTTAGGGTTTTGGAGTATAGATTGATCAGCACTTCTCTCGCATTAGGGACCACCTCTAGCCCTACTATCCCCGTCGTCTCCTTCACCTTCGCCATCATCATCACCGGGCGAGCTAATCTCCGGAGAAACATTTTCTCTCTCCTCTCGAAACCCCTTCTCTCTCCTCGGCTCCGATTCGGCCACTGGGTCTGAGCAGTGTGATTATACAGTGAACAATTTTTGTTGATATGTGAGTTGATTATGGATCCTAATCTTTGGAAATGGCCCATAATTATGGGCCNAACTCGCAACTCCGCAAGACTCTTCAGTAGTCTCCTCCTTTCTCTCTTTGTTTCTGCTTTCGCTTCAACATAAGTCTCTGCTGACTGCTCTGCTGTTCGTCCAGAATAAGCATATTGGCTGAAGAGAGAGAGAGAGAGAGAAGGGACCCAAAGAACAACGCTGACTTTTAGAGCAAGAGATAAAAAGGGCGANCCTAGATCCAGTTTAATCCAATGAAGAGACATCCATGTGTGTTGGCTCTAGCCCGTTTTCCAGGTGGAATATTGGGTACTGGCTGGCCCAGAACACCAAGCAACAGAACCTGAGTAATCCAATAGACTAACATGGTGGGATCATACTTTGTGGGTTTCGGGCTGCTAAGTCTAAAGTGCTGTCTCATTAAGGCCTGCTATGGTGACCAATTGTTTTGCCCAACCAATTGGACTTAAAAACTCGTGGGTGGGTGTATGTGTTGTTGTTGGTTTTTTTTTGTGTTGGGGGTGGGGGTGGGTGGGGGGGGGGGGGGGGGGGGGGGGGGG